TGCTTTATAATAGTAATAAAATAATTAAGTACATCCGCAACGAAAGATTCAGCATGGCTCCCCAAGAGGTTTTGACCATGGTTCAAATGTCTGTTGCTCAACTCATCTTTAAGATACCTCTAAGCCATCAATGTAGGATAAGATGTTGGGGTGCCGGAGCGTCTTGAGGAATTTAAAGGCTGTTTTGGCAAGCTGGACCTGCTCTTCGGAACTCGGCTTGACCTCATGTACGAAAAGGGAGACCGGCTCCCCCGTGGTCTGCAAAAATGAAAATGAACAGGGGTGAGAGAAGATGGTGGTCATTTGCTAGCCACAGTCAGGCCATGATCAATGGTCAAATGGACAGTTCCCCAGATCCCAGTGGCTCCCACTCGCCTAGGTTTAGAAGAGCCATAAAATCCTAACTAGTTACTAGGGAGATGGAGACCTCTCGTCTGTCTGAGTCTTTTTATTTCTTTTTATCTTGTCTTTTTATCTCTGTCTGTTCTGTTTTTTTGATTTCCCTAGCTCTTATACATGTGCTTCACTACGAAAATATGTGGTTGGGATTAGATTTTGGGGAGGAAAATAAGTGGGGGGGGAATTGTGCCTCTGCCTACCAGCATCCATCGGTATTCATCTGGCGAGTGTCCTTGTCAGTGTTGTGAGAGTTGAGGGCTGTTTGGAAACTGAAAGAGTATTTGCTGTGCGAGCAAGGAGACAGTAAGGAGCCTGGGCATGGCTTAGCTCAACTGTTCGGTACTAAAGCTGCTTGGTGCTGTGAAAGTAAAAGTGAAACTCCTCTCCTCTGCTTGTGTTTTGCATTTGGAAGAGATTTCTTTCCAGGTGGGGAGGGGGAGTAGAACTCCTTAGCATCAGAGCATGTTAATAGTAGTAATAATAGTAATAATAGTAATAATAATAATAATAATAATAATAATAATGATGATGATGATAATAATGGAAATACTAATGCTCTGATGGTCATTTCTAAAAATCCTTTCTTAGTGAACACCTGGAAACCAAGAGGAACATAGGTGCCAAATTTCAAGTTTGTAGGTTCTGGAGATTTTGTGACTTACAAGGTCCTTTCCAACTCTGTTAATTGGTTATCTGTCAGAAATGATGTAGGGTCTCCTGCTTGGGCAGGGGGGTTGGACTAGATGACCCACAAGGTCCCTTAAATCTGTTGAAGATG